TTGAATTAAATACTTTTAGTTTAATTTTTAGTCATTTATTTAAGCGCTTTTGTCTTTTTATTATTAAAATTCATTTTTAATATTGCTATTTACCGTAGGTTTATTTTATCTCAGCTTTAGTTTATATTTATTTCCAGGTAATAATTTAAGTGCTTCAACTTCGACATATTTCAGTTTATTGCCAAGGCAACATTCATTTGGTTTATATTTTTCAACTAATATTTATATTTTAATTTGTTTCAGCTTTATTTCAATAAACAGAAATGTTTTTATTAGTTTTAGCTAACAATAATAACCTTGATTTATGTTACATTTTATTCCTAAAAACTGTAAAAATAATTGTTTTATAGCTGATTTATGATTTATGGAGTGATAAAAAGAAAAATCCAAAATCTCTCTGTAAATTTTTGAGCCTGACTTTTATCTAATGACTTCATCTAATGTTCTAATGCTCCGATATCTGTTCTGGAAATGTATGCAAATGAATGCATATTTAATTAGACACTGCCTCATTTGCATACATAAGCATAACATTGCAGGAAACTTGTAATACAAAACAATTGTCTGTGTACTGTGATTAATTAAGTAGGGCAGTATAGTGAACATTTTTACCCTATTCCCCTGCGATGCTTCTTAATGTTAATGTTAATTTTTTTTTTTTTTTTTTGCAGTCCAAATCAATTCAGTTGATATTGCTTCTGGTTCATTTAAGTTGAGCACATCGTGTAGCATATCTTTGCGTGTGTGTGTGTGTGTATTCTTGTACCTTGTATCTTGGTCTTGGGTTTGCCGCAGGGTTTGGTGGCGCTAACGGAGTTTGGACAGTTAGCATCCATCAGCGCTCGCTTTAGCACACCGGTGCGCGTCTTCATTCCCGAGGTCGAATCACACTCCCCCCACGCCTGGAAATCATACTTACACTCTCCTGCCCAAGACAACAAACAAAACTTCATTTGGGTGAGTTCACGTGCAACATTATTATATGCAGCATGTCAGAAAATGCGGTCACAATAAGGTTCATTAAGTTAACTACATTAGTTAGCATGAACTAATAATGAACTGCACTTACACAGCATTTATTAATCTTTGTTAACCCTCTAGGCGCCACGGTTGAGTTTACTCGACAAGATGCGGCACTGAATAAAACGGCCGATTTTGTCAAATTGGGTGTCAAATTTTGTTCGACCTCCCCTCCACTGGATGGCAGACGTCATACTTCATCCCCGACTCAAAAAAACGTCATGTTTCTATACAAAATGTTCGAGTTAGAGCGCATTGAATCAGTGCGATCAAAAGCGGAGCTAGTGTGCGAGTGAGCCGTTTATCAGAGCCTCTCCGCGGTCGCGGCGACAGTATTGTGGAGGAGACTTTGTCTAATGCCACTGGGTGTGTTAGACGAGGTCGAAGTATTCATAGGACAGTTAGGAGGCGACGTGGAGGCAGGGTGAGGAGTCGCAGTAGTCTGAGCTGTGCACACTCGATCTGGCCGCGCTGCTCGGATCATCTCACTCATGATCTGTGCGAGTGAGCGTTTGAACTAAACAGGTCTTGTCTACTTGTGTTTGTATGTCATATGAATAATATATATGTGCCCCATACATGGAATCAGAGTGTCTACTGTATTTAGTAAATGGAAAATCTCTACAGCAAAAGGCCAACCGCTACATGCATTCGGTTTGTTTCTACCATTTATTAGTAATGATTTACACAGTTTGTTTACTAGTTACTATATACCTGAGCATTCAGTATTGTGCAATATAGCATACAGAAGGTGAGGGACATTTTGGGGGGAAAGAAGTCCTGCATTTTATCATTTAAACATGTGACTTTCCATGAAAATTCTATAATCCAAGATTGCCGCCACCATATGACGTCATAATATGCTAATTAGATGGTAAAATGTAATCCCTACATAAACTTTGGGTCATCCTTAATATTTCTCTAATTTACAGAAAGTCTCTATCTTTTATCACTTTTAAGATATAGCCTTTTGAAATTAAGAAGTCACAATCGAACGTTTTAGGAAAAAACCTCTGGCGCCTAAAGGGTTAATGCTAATTTCAACATTTACTAATACTGAATTAAAATCTTGTTAACATTAGTTAATGCACAGTGAACTAACAATGAACAGCTGTATTTTTATGAACTAACATTAACAAATACTGTAACGAATGTATTGCTCATTGTTAGTTAATACATTAACTTATGAACCTTATTGTAAAGTGTTACCGAATCTGCATTATAAAATACACTGTAAATGCAAAACCAAAACAAAACAAACATGCAATCAATATGAAAGCTACATTTATTGTCTCAATACATGTTCCTGGTGTTACTGAGCATTAATCATCAGTGCATGTTATCCTGAAGAAATGCATTTTTGTCTGAAAGTTTTATTCGAAGTTTTATTCTTCAACCATCTGTCATACAGAGAAACTTTTCACCACGCAATAACTCCCAAAAGCTTAAAACCACATTTTTTCTTGTTGAATATCCCGTTTCACTTGGAAACACATCCGATTATGGAAGTAAAATGGGTTTGCAAACTTCACAAGGGAAAAGAAAACAAGCCAGACTATATTAAATACAGGTTCACTTACATCGAGACCATCGAAACGCAATTTTATATACGATAAACAATTTAGGTACTGCATGTGTTGTGTTGGCACTTGTAAAATCCGGATCCTGAAGTAAAACCAATTGCGAGGTTCTGATCTATGCTCTCGTTGCTTTATTTTATCTCTCGTCTCATTTCATCCTTCATTCTTTCAGTCCATATGTTGGAGCGATATCTCTCCGGCAGAATGGACGAGGGTTAAACTGCTTCAATCAAGCACAAAATCGTCTCTAATGACATATTTAAAGGCAGAGAGAATGTAATTACATGCGGCAGCGCTCCGGCTGAACGGCCGCTGTCCCGAATCAAGACCCTCAGAAACGAAACCGAGCTCTTATAACTCGGGAGAATACATTCTGCACTAGACATTTCAACACTAAACTACACTGACACGACTGCTGAACTACACAGAAACACACAGAGGATTCATCACTCAACGTTTACTGTGATCATGTTTTATTAGGTCTGTGATTTCTGATGTTCCTTCAGAGCGAGACGATCCCAGAGAGATTTCTGAGAGAAACACCCCACTGTTTCAGTGTTTGCTGATAGTTTGTGTATACCTACAAATCCTGAGGGAAGGTGGCATATGCTCTCTCTCTCTCACACACACACACACACACACACACTGATATATTCTGCCAGGTTGTTTCTAGGTCTCACTGTCATTTCTGACGACAGAATTCTGTGAGATTCTCCATCTTGTTACTCCAAAACACAGGCTTATTTACCCTGAGCCCTGTGTGAGTGTGTGTGTGTCACCTGTGTGTGTGTGGCTTCTCACCTCCAAACTGCTTTTTCCAGTTGCAGGGGATCTTGCAGCGCTGTGTTTTGATGGTCTGCTTGCAGTCGGTGCCGGTGCGAGTGCCCTCTCTGGTGCCCAGCCCACAGTCACCCTCGTTAGCCACACACACACTCCACTGCCACTCGCCACAGTCAGATTTACGCTCTTTCTTTCCTGTCAGAGAGGGAGCACACACACAGTTTCACACTGCACCTTACAGCTGTACGGATGAGAGAGAAAGTGTGTGTGTGTGTACGAGTTTTCCCTTTTCCCTCCCCAGGTCTGTTATATCCTAAGTTGGCTGGTTTTTGTGACTTCTTTCGTTTTGTTTGAAAATAATTATTATTTGCCTAATTTGTGTTCTTACTTTTATATATATATATATATATATATGTATATTAGGGGTGTAACGGTTCACAAAATTCACTGTTCGGTACGTTTTCGATACAAAATGCCAGAGAAATGTCCTTAATTTAATTTTTTTAATTATATTTTTATTAAAACTAACATCATAAAGTAAGATTTGTTTTACTTTGAGCAATGATGGAGCTATACTTGACTTTTCTTAGGAGCTTATAAAACAAAACAGCTCGTTGGACAAAATGAAATGTAATATTGTAGTAGTTATAAACACAGGTTTATTTTAGTTCAGATTAACATTTGAGGGCAGCAGCTGTATTCATAATGTCAAAATAAAACCGGCGTAATGTTACTTGAAAGCATTATAGCCGACTATTCCTGCCACACTCCCATGGTTACAGTTAGTAGAGTTACTACAGTAAATCCACGCTGATCTGTGGACACTGGATAGTTCATTCATGGCACAATGTTTCTTCCTGGTTTCCACGTCAGCGCTGTTTGATCCGTTAATAACGGAGAAATGTGAATGTTTTTCACTAGATCTCGCAGCGATGTTATTACTTCAGTGGCGAACTCAAATGTTTTCTTTACTGGATTTGGCTGTGTAGTGACAGTGCTGATGATGAAGATCGGCTCGCGCTGCTTTGGTCCAAACTGATAAACGGTCCGTCAACCACACAATAACGAGTGGCTCAGTTTCGTTCCGCTTACATTACATTTGCCATTTGATGTTGGGCAATGTTGTGGTCACGCCAGCGTCTCTTACATTATGAGCGCGCTTGCCACGCGTGACGCGCCTACATTTGAAATAACGAAATGTTGGTCGGCAGGAAAAATGGTCCAATGAACCGTTCGGTTAAAAAATGCGCACCGAAAAACGAACCGAAAGCCTCGTACCGAACAGTTCAATACGAATACGTGTATCGTTACACCCCTAATATATATATATATATATATATATTTTTTTTTTTGGCCGATCATTGCACATAATACATTTGTTCACATGTTCTTATTCACTCTCCCAGTATGTTAATGGTAACAATTGTGTAAGGGTGGCCTAATGTTCCTCTTCTAATTCCCTAGACTTGTAAAAACAGTGCAGGGTCGTAACATTAATGATATAAAGCAGTGTGTGGTGATGTTCTGTTACCTTGTTTCTCTGTTTTCCCACCATCTGCCAGTGTCGTTGTGACAGTCAGGAGGGCGAGCAAAGCCACACAGACCCACTGCTGATGCATTCTGGGGGAAAGATAAATGCACATTAAAGGCTGCAGTGTGGGATTTTTAGCGGCATCTAGTGGTGAGTTTGTGAATTGCACCCAACAGAAGTTACGGTGGCCGACAGGAAGTGATGTCGTCGTCTGAGACAGCACAGAGTAGCCAGTTAAAGGTACAATATGTAAGAATTTTGTAATAAAATATCCAACAATCACTTGCACAGTGTGATATATTTCCTGCAGTTGTGTACTTACAATATCCCAAAAGTCTCCAAAGATTTTTTATTTCAGAGAAATTCCCATTTTAAATAAGTGGCCGTCTCGTAAAAAAAGTCGCCTGTCAATGACGCAATATCCGCGCTATCCTCGGTTTCCGTTCATACTGCCATAGCCATGACGTAACCATGGCGACAGACGTGGACAACTGCGTAACGTTTAGCGGCACACAGTTCTTGTTTCTATCAAACATAGACCATGGCAAGCAGACTTTGGGACAAACAAGGAGAACTAAAATGAGGATCAATATCAGCGTGGCGTTTTTAAGATGCCGAGAGCTAGCGTCCACGGCTAACTTGCACTTGACAGAGCTTCACGAGTCACGACTCGACAGCTTTATTAGACCGGTGAGCAAATGTACATAAAACAAATCAATGTTATATAAGGTTAGCTCAACATGATGAAATGTTAGAATATGGTCAGTATGTTATTCTAATGTTGATCTAGCTTACTGCTAGTTTCGTATAGCAAACGAACTAACACGTAGTATAACATTATAACTTTCAACACACATTTAAATGCCGTTTAGTGTGATAGTGTAACGTTAGAGCAAGTGAAGCAGCGCTGCGTTACCTCACAAGTTTAATTCGTCTAATAAACTGACCTGTGTGAGTAATCCAGCACTCGCGGGTAAAATTAGTTCGATAGAATTAAATGTCCTTATTCCTTTATATCCGCGGGACTCGCGTGTGATATCTGTCTCTTTAGCAATCGCGACCTGCTTCATACCACTGTAATGTTAAACAACCTGAATGTTTGCACTCATCCATAAACATTATTAGATCCATCAGCTTGACAGCAAGTCCCATCATTCAGCTCATCACTGCGTCATCAACCTACGCCTGTGTTATTATTGGAAACTGCGCCCTCTTGTGGCGAAAAAACCTTACATATTGTGCCTTTAAGTAATGAGGTTTCTTTACAAAGATAAATTAAGAAATTATGTTTACTTAATTATTCAGTAAAACGATATATTATTGCGAGTATTATTGTTACTTGTTCATCATGTCAGTGTTTTATTCGCTGACTTTAGCAGCTTCTTATCATTAAGAACAACACAGTGACGAAACGCGTTTGTCCGTTCAGGGCCACCGTAGAAACATGTCGATGTAAGCGGACCGGCGGTGTGTGTAGACAGAAATGCTCACTCTAAAGTAATTAAAACATAACGGTTCATTATGTACGGTCTATATACACCACTGAAAACATAGTTATGTAAATTATATTGCATTTCTGTCAACAGATCCTCCTAAATATTACACAATGCACCTTCAAAAGGTATGGCTCATAATACCAAAAAAATAAAAAAACATCACACAAATATCTGTACCTGTAAGTGCTTCATTATCATACATCCAAAGACTATCCTCCTTCTTTCAGTCTTTCTCTCTCCGTCTCTCAGGAGGGAAAGTAAAGGTGGGTTGAATAATTAGAAAGCAATTTTATCCCGAACGCTCGACTGCACTTCAGTTACAGTAGCAGTGCAGCCCATCGGCGACATCACCTCCATTTCAATTACTTATGAGCCTCTCTCTCTCTCTCCTTTTCTCTTCCTATTTCTGGTTGGCTGATTTCCCGCTGTGCCCATAAGCATCGGCTTGCTGGACTTTTTTCCCCGAGTTCTGCCTCATGTACAAGTTGCTCAGTCATTTTCCCTCATCAGTGGCAAGTTGCATAAACTTCTTAGTCTTAAAAGTTAGCCATCTCATTTTTTTTCTTCAAGACTGGTTCTAACATTTTAAAAGTCAGTTACATCAAAAGGCAGTCTCATTTAAATCGAAATGTAAGACTGATCACCTCTTGTCTTACTGCAGCTAGCTCTTAAAACACAGTCTTAACAAAGTTTATGCAACTGGCCCCAGCACTCTAAAAAATGCTGGGTTGTTTTAACCCATGGTTGGGTCAAATATGGACAAACCCAATCGTTGAGTTTAAAAATGCAATTAAAAAAATTAAACCAACGCTTGGATTTGTCCATATTTGACCCAACCATGGGTTGAAACAACCCAGCATTTTTTAAAGTGAGGTGAATCTGTGTTGTGACTTTGTTTTAGTTTTTAAATGTGAAAGTATTTATACATCATGCTATATGTAATGTGTTGTAGTGCTTTTAATTTATGCAGATTTTAATTAAAAATATTGTTTTACAGTAATGAGAAACTAATAAAACTGGTAAAACTTTACAATAAGGTTCATCTACCTTAATTAACATGAACTAAGAATGAACAACACTTCTCCAGCATTTATTAATCTTAGTTAATATTAATTAAAAAATGTTCTAATATATTATTAAAATCAAAGGTTGTATTAGTTAACATTAGTTAATGCACTGTGAACTAACAATGAACAGCTGTATTTTTATTAACTAACATTAACAAATATTAACTAAAATAGTAACAAATGTCTTGCTCATGATGTGAGTTAATGCATTAACTAATGTTAACTAATGCACCTATGAAGTGTTACCATAAAACTCACCAGAATTTTGGGAGTTACAAAAGAGATGCAAAACCCCCTGATACATAGAATTTAGAAAGAAAATGTGCTGATTTGTCATGAAAAGAACATCAAAATTGAAACAAAAATGAGGCACGGTGATGTTTCCGTGAGATTCGTCCCATCATTTCTGTCTCTATCAGTGTGTTAATCACAGTGGACGTGTCTCTCACACACACCTGAGCTGTTCCACATCAGTCAGACTGTGAAATCGTCAGCGCCACATAATAACCGTGATTTCAGTCAGATGGGCAAAAACCTGCCAATCAAACACTCGTGAGTCCTGACATATAAAGCGCTTCGGATCGTTCAAACGTAATCTGCCCTCCAAACCCTGATTAGCAACACTGCAAGTGACTCTGTGATATTGGAGAAGAGAGAGGATTAGCGTCGAGTGAAGTGACAGGAGCATTGAGATGTGAGGACTAGACAGCAGGGTTAGGTGCCTTGTGGAGTCCAATTCAATACCCGAATGTCAACTGAACTGATTTAGCAAACGAGATGCAGAATCGTAATTAGCATTTACAGTTAGGGAAGTAGAATTAAAACCGAATTAATTAAAAGAAACTGCTGTTTTAATAATACATTTCATTTCTTAGTATGAATTACGTGAGGAATAATTGACGGCGGGCTGTTGAATTATTAAAATAATGCATGTGTGTGCACTATTTTTCTATAATTCGGATGGCCGGCGTCAATTATTCCGGCTTAACTACGGTTTCCACAGCTCAAAACATTGTTCAGATGATGTATTTCATGACTTTTGTCTTAAAACACTCTTGTGTGTAGGACTCATTTCTAACGCATCTCATTCCAAGCCTCTGTTGCTAATTCAAAGAGCTCGTTAACAGAGGCATGAGCCACCGATAGCAGACTAATGCAGTTATTAGCGAGAGATAGAGATTAAAGGTGCTGTATGTAACTTTTTCACACTACTAAAGCATAAAATACATTAATACGTTTGCATTAGGGCTGTCAGTTAAACGCGTTATTAACGGCGTTAACGCAAACCCATTTTAACGGCGTTAATTTTTTTTTCGCGCGATTAACGGTCTTTTTGGCCTAGCAAACTTTGTCGTGTTTTTCACATGCTTTTGCAACAGGACGCGGCGCTGCGCTATGAAACCCATTCATTTCAATGGCTTACGCCGCGCGAGGATGTTTTGTTGCTTCGTCGACCAAAGCGCAAGCGGATCTAGCTAGACCGGAAACAACAACAGGCACGCCACACACACTCGTTTGGGCTCGCGAGCCGGACAAATAGTTGGTTAACGTTACGTTTTGAGTGGATGACGAGCGCGAGACGCCGAAATGGATGCCAATAAGATTCTGAATTGAAAGTTTACTTTTAAAAAGTTGCCAAATGGTCCCATTGACGAGACCAAAGTGATCTGTGTGTTTTGTCGTTGTGAACTGAGCTATCGTCATCGCAGCAAGTCCAGTCTGAAATACCACTTGATGATGGCCAAGCACACACACACACACACACACACACACACAGCTGATGCGAATTCTCCGCCCCCTCGTCAATATCAGGACCTCGTCAGTATTTCTTTCAGCCTTTTATTGATGGACAGTGTTACATTGTGTGAGAGATTATTTGCTCCAAGTGAGAATGTTAGTGTGAAATTGAACACAGTATATGCCAATGTGGTTTTCAATAAAAAACATTTGCACAAAGCAAGCCGATCCACTTTTCCATGTTGATAAGAGCATTAAAATGAGAAAAAATAATGGGACAAAAAGAAATCAAGAGACATTTAGAATAGACAAAAATGTGCGATTAATCGCGAGTTAACTATGACATTAATGCGATTAATCGCGATTAAATATTTTAATCGTTTGACAGCAATAGTTTGCATATATTGAGGAAACATGCCAAGTTCACATACTCGTTTCTCTGAAAAACACTTCTAGAGCCAGTTATTTTACTTTGAAATGTGCGTTTCCAGGCTGGAATGTTTGTTTTTGTTTTGGTCTGTGATACTGCATTTTGACAATTTTCATTGTCCAGTGCGGTCGTTCCTGTTGTGTGTGCTCAAACTGGCAACCAGTGTGAGCGCCGTCGAGTCTGAAGAGGCGGGAGAAACCACGATCTCTGATATTTTGTATTTGGACTGCAGTACCACTAGTTGTCATTCTTACAGACTGCTCCTTTAAGGTGTGTGTGAATTACCTGAGTCTGAGTGTCTCTCAACAGTGTTCGGCAGCACTAATAGTGAAACTGTAAGTTTATCGGCTTCAAGAACA